TATCTACGGACGGATTGCTAACCGTAGTGTTAACTGGAGACAGTAGATTCGTAGTAGGCACATTTGTGTCTAAGGTGGCTACCGATTCAGCTCTATTAATGATCAATTTCGTCTCCGCCTTGGCATCGATGATTGACTCGACATGATTGTGAATTTCGTCAACCAGCTTTCCCATCGTTTCACCAGAAGTCTTTTCTATCAACTCCTCTAATATTGCCACATTCTTATCAACTTTGGAAATTCTAAGCTTTAATTTCATTATATCGCGCGGGCTGGTATGATCTATCTCGCTCACCGCCTTTTGAAATTGCGCGAATTCTTTCTTTATATACTCGAATCTCCGTATAACGCGCTCAACATCACCACGTGCACTACTCGAACGAGGCATTTTCACGACAAAAGGCAAAATTAAGAAGAGAAAAGAGGGGGAGAAATACGACTTCGAAGAATGATMAAGCAACAGAMATTACAAAACTCACGTRAATCCTCTGAATAAAGCGTCCCGTGCAGCGTACTCACGCACCGGAACAATAGAAGCTTCTCGGCTTGTAGCGATGATGCAATACCTCCTTTGTTGCTGGATCGGAAGTCTTCCGTTGCCTCTTTCTCCTCCGTTGAAGAAGACTGTATGCACAATAGACGCCGGACGAAGAGTGGGGAGGAAGCACCCTTATCCGGCTCGAAGGACCAAAATGTTGCTGCGACCGATGCCTTAATCGGTACTCCAGTGAATAGTAGTGAATCGAAAAATGCCCTTACGGGTGATATCGAGATTCTTTATTAATGGGAAGGAGGATAGGAAAATAAAACACAATAACGACTTTATTTGAGCTCAGTCAGTACGGAAAAGTACGCATTTATTTGGCTCGTCAGGGAAAAGCCTTTCGGCATAAAATCCCTGGTTGCAACGATGAAGAAAAATCCACAAAGCAGTATAATTCTGGCCAAGTGCAGGACCGCCTTTGTCCCTTGTCGCTGGCCGAACTTAGATGATATGGTATTGCGCAATACAAAGAAGTCTCCTTGAAGAAGTTCTCGCAAGTCTCAGCTAGATGAATCTCGAGCGATGAATCCAGAGTGAAAACAGGCGTAAAAACGCGCTGGCTTTTATACCAAAAAGCGATGCAATGC